GTTTTTCGTGTGGCATAAACATTTTACGGGAGTTTTACTTATGCGACTAGAGCCAATTTTTGCTTTGCACGAACAAAAAATTAAGTCTGTCTCTACATGACTGACAGTTTCATCAATGAAACATCAGCGTGAGGGTGGATGTTACTGAAAGGACAGACAGGAAGAAAAGAAGGAAATAGATAATTTAATTTCTTATTATTTCCTTCTTCCATCTTCTCTATAGTTTTACAAAGAGGAGGTACTCAGCTGGTAGGCGATTAGTCGATGGATGTTTTGAGTAAAAAAAAAAATGTAATTTTTTTTCCTGAGCTGGAGGTTATGTTAGCGGTAGCCGAGAGCAACTATAGCTTTTTGAGTGCTCTCCAAACTTCCCAAGTGCATCCGTAACTCGATATACGCACAGCTAAAAGCATGAGCAAATTCTGTCGTAACAGAGCAACAACAAGGATCTTCCTAAAAATTTGCGAAACATGCAACTTCCGAGTTTTTTTTCGGCTTTATTTTTGTTGCTTATTGGATCAGGACCTAAAAGGTCAATGTCGATTGAAAATTGGGAAGTTCTTGGCTGGTTTCTTCCATATTTCAAAGAGAAGGAAAACTGCACTTCAGCTTAACAGGACGGAAACTCTGAAACCAGGTTAAAAAAAATGTTCACGTCATCTTATTTACGCACGCCTGTGCGTAAATAAAGATTTTGTTCATAGCGGCACAATAGGACTTATCTAGGCAGGGACGCGCGCTATGTTATAAATGTTATGTTATACTCGAGGCGTAGCCGAGAGCAACTCTAACCTCTTGAGTGCTTTCCAAACCTCCCAAGTGCTTCATATCTCAATGAACACACAGCTGACGTATGAAGCAATTTTTTTCATAAAACTTTCAACCCGATGGTTTAAATATTGTAAAAGGGTTAATATTCCCTCAGCTACGCTTCAGCGCGTTGATAATTTGTTTCAGGAAAACATTTCGCTACGCTGTAAACAATCTTGTTTCCATGTTCAGCTTAAAATGCCGCCGAAGACTTAACCAGTTTCTTAATGGTAAAATCCCAAAGTAAAAAAATCGCGGAGAAAATTTTTTTCTCGAGGGATTTGTTTGCTGACGTCATGAGCGTGCACAATAGGAATATGAAGCACGCTCACGCAATTGAATTTGATTAGACAAATTTACTAGCTATGTTATGATGAAAAATCAATTTTGAAAGATGGGTTGCTAAAGTCATTTTCAATTTTCAGCTAAAATGAAATTTTCATTTTTTATTTTTCAAATTCTCAGAAGAGTGAAATGGAACTCGGGTACACGCATTAAGCGCTATTCGTTGCTGAATTACCAGACTCAGAATTTATATGCTTGGACATGAAAGTGTACAACAGCGAGAATTTTAATAGGGAATCGACTCTTGACATCCAAACGTATTACGAGGAGACGGAGACCTTCGAGTACTTGAATTTTCATCCGTGTGTGACAAAAGAAAAAGATTTCGTGAGAGGAGAAGCACAATGCCCCCCTAGGAAAAGAATCCTCATGCTCCACGTTTCATAAAAATATATAGTCTTTTTAATTTCCCATCTTGAATATTCCAATATTTTGACATTTAAATAGGCATGTCCGCTATCCAGTATTTTACTTCAATATATGAATCAAACTTTTTGATCCATTTTGGCAATTCGTAAAAAATGCATCGATCAATTTTGGCTTCTCTGCGTTCGCTAGAGAAACTATAAATTTGGAAAATGAAGACAATGTAGGAAAAGAATTTAGGATCAAAACCAGCTGCCATTCGAATGAGACTGAAAGAAATTGAGGAGGATGGAATGATGAATAATTATTGAAATGGCTTTCTAAGGGTCTGATGATTTAGTTAAGTAGTGTTTTTTACCTGTCATGGTTCCTTTCATAAATTCTGATCAGATGCGACAAGAAGAGAAAATGATTAGGGTACGGTTTAAAATAACGAAACGAAACTATAATTAAAAATTTTTTTTACATGTACGTCCATAGACTAATTTTCAGCTGTCAGTCAAATGTGCTCGGAACTAATTTCAAGACTGTTTCTCGTGTCCCATGAACATTTTGCGGGAGTTTTATTTTTACGGACAGAGACAATTTGTGCTTATTAGGCAAAAAAGTAAGGCCGTCTTTAAATGACTGACAGTTTCATCACTGAAACATCAGCCTGAGGGCGGATGTTGTACTGAAAGGACAGAAAGTAAGGAAGGAAGGAAAGAGATAACTTGAATTTTGATTATTTCCTTTGATAATATGAAGAATTATTACATTTAACTTTTTCTTGGCCAGGTGGTTGCTGTGAAGAAGTATTATCCCGTGTTGTCAGCAGTTCCAAAAATCCATAGCGAAAGGAGGAAAACCGTTTTAAGAGCTGCACCATGATTGCGACGACAAACTCAACAGAGGGTGGAACACAGACTGAAGCAAATCAATTATTGCCATGTTCTCCCTCCTCGGTAGTTGGGTTACAACAACAATCCATTTATTTCTCAGCAGTTAACATTTTCCTCTCCATCACAGCATTTCTCGGGAATTTTCTAATCCTTGCCGCCCTTAACAAGGAATCTTCCCTTCATCCACCGTCCAAACTCTTGTATCGTTGTCTGGCAACAACTGATCTGTTGGTTGGTCTTGTTTCCCAGCCTCTCCATGCTACTTATTGGATGTCCTTGGTTTACGAACACTGGACTCTTTGTGAATACGCAAGGGGCGCAGCTTACATATCAAGCTTTGCATTATGTGGGGTGTCTTTGCTGACGTTGACGGCCATAAGCGTGGACAGACTTCTTGCTCTATTGTTGGGAATAAGATACAGACAAATAGTAACTTTAAAGCGCACATGTATCATAACCGCTACGTTTTGGATTTTATCCGTCGCCGGTGGATCATTTTTCGTTTCACGTCCTCGAATTACCATTTGGTATAGTATCATAGGTATACCGTCATGCTCAGTGATCTCAATCGCCTCGTATACAAAGATATTTGGCACTCTCAGACATAATCAGGCTCAAGTG